CAAAGACTCGGGTGGGCGTGCGTAGGGGTGGTGGACGGTCACTGCGACTCATCCTAACCTCCACGGGGGCACAGCTGGCACCTGGGGTGGTCACATTCTGCAGATGTTGAACTCCAGGAATGCGCCTTCCGACTGCAGCCTCTCAGCGTATTGAACAATATATCAGGGTTTGGAGTAAGTCACGTGCACTTGCCGGAGAGACAGAGTGAAGGAAGGTGAGAAGTCACTCCCCAGGCTTGAGTTTCAAGACACCAAGTCTGGGACGTGAACTCTGTCGGCCGTGTGGGAGTCCAGCACCTTAACCTCCACGCCACCTGCCGGCCCTGAATATTGTGAACCTGAGAGAAAGGATAGGTGCAGGCGGGACACTCTGGCCTTCCCCTGAAGCAGGTCCCAGGGCCTTCATGTGAGAAGTGCCCCCCCCTACCCGCAGGAAGAGCATCCTCATGTCCCCTGGGAGGGATCGGAGAGACGGGCCTGGCCAAGTCTCCCCAGTCTGCTACTCTTGGCTCATACCCCCTTTGTCCTGTCACATTTCCCACAATCCCCCACTCTTCATCAGAGCTAGCATGAAAACGCTCAGGTTTAACTGCTTCTTGCCATCTTCATTTCTATATGGAGACTCCTGTGTCCCATAAAACATACCTGAGACACATTTGTGTGCTTTCTCTTATTCATCTGTCTCTTATTACAGGAGACCCAACCAGGAATGCAGAGAACAGGAGGAACGTCCTTCCTGCACGACGAAGCGCGAGTTTCACCCACACGATCGTCCCTCAGAGGGCAGATCCGCAGACCAGCTCGGATCTGTGCCTGGCCTGGTGTCGAATGAGTGAACAGGCGAGACAGGGTGTAAGAGGACAGGTGTGGAGGACTGTGCATGTGTAGGAGGCCAGCAGGTGGGCCTGAAACTTGTCTCACACCTAGGATGGCCGCTGAGAGGCTGATGCCTAGATCTGAGGGCCAGTGGTTTATGTAGAAGGGGTCCCAGGGCCCTGGAAGAACAAGTGGGAGGGAGAGCGAGCCAGGAGGGAAGGAAGTTGATGCAGGTGCATCGTGGAGGGTGTTTGGGGACTGCTGAGCCTCGATCCTGCCGGGAACTTCTAGGAGACAGCGGAGAGTCTGCATCCGAGTTGTCCCCATGGAGGGGCCAGGAGGCTTCATCTACCATGTCCCATCAGTCATGGTGGGGCTGCCCCAGGCTGGCCTGACCTTGTGTGCAGGCAGAGTGGGCTCAGCCCCCTGGGTACTGCCCGGAGGGGTGAGGCTGAGGTGGGCAGGACATCGGCCTCCGTGTCAGGACAGCTCTCCCTACCCCTCAGGTCTGACACGTGAGAATGACAGGAGGCCATCACTTGGGCTAAGCTGCTGCTCTAGGCCCCGAAAGACCAGGCCAAAATGGAATCACACAGGCTAAAAATGCCGCATCATTGAATCACAACTTTATGGAGGCTGACAGATCCCCAAAGGGATCCATTTTTCCTGGAAACAGGAGAGTCCAGTCCAGTCAAGTTGGTGCAATAAGGAAATAAAACATGCTCACACCTGGGGCTTCCTTAGGACGTGCACCTGAAATAGCTCAGGCTACTTCCTAGGCCCCACGTATTCCTCCTCTTCCTTCCCGTCCCTACCTGCACCAGGTCTTCCTGCCGCCCTCTCACACAACCAGCCAGTCCCCGCTGCCCATGCTCCTCGCTGCCCGTCTCCACCCCCCATACCTTTCCTTTAAGACTGTCCTGAGCCCGCAAACCCTCAGTGCACCGCTGGGTACCGTGGCAGCGAGGTTCCGGTTCTTCCTAACTTTGTCCCAAATACACTCTTTTGCTTTACTTCCTTTGCCATGGCATTTCTCGTGGGCTCACAGTGCCCCTTCCGTGGGAGGTCCCGCCTGGCCACTCTCCCAGTGGCACCCAGCACCTCAGTCCTTCCCAGCATTGCGCCAGCCTCCCTTCACTGCAGGATCCCCCGTGGAGGTAAGGGCTTGTGGAAGGTGTAAGTCACCTCTGTTTTTCTGCTTTTCTCATGCTGGTGTCTGCCCCACTAGATCGTACAGCCCCATGTGCCTTTCTGTTCCCGGCTGTGTCCCTGGGCGTGCTCTGCATGCCAGCCTCCTAGTAGGTGCTCAATTAAACATCCTTTGAAGGATGAATACATTCTTGTCGATTTCAACCTGGGAATTCTGGGCTCTCAGACTCAGAACTGAAAAGGCACTTGGTAGATGGAGCCCTGGGGTGCTCACAGGGGCAGCGATCTGCCAAAGTCATGCCCCCCACCCCCGAGGGCAGAAGCCCTGCCACCCCACCCAACAGCCATTCCTCCAGGGCCCAGCAGCGGGAGGAGAAGCTCTCGGAGTCCCTGGGACTTCTCTCAGCTCCCCAGAAATCACTCCCTGCAATTCTCTCTAATCTTCTCAGCCTCATTCACTCCCCACTTTCCCCAGCTGAAGAGGAAGCAGCTCAGACAGCTGTGGAGCTGGGACTCTCGCTCATCGAGATGCATTAATTTGTAAATATCTTCATTTATATGTAAATGCGGAGTCCCCCGCCCCACTGCCAGCCCTAATGGGGCCCTGCAGCCTGGCAACGTAGCCTCCTGCGGCACTGCCGGTTAGGCCGCCAGCCGGCACCTCTCTGATCCGTTTAGACTCAGAGGGTCTGTCCCCTCCTTCCCGCTCCCCTGCTGTTCACCCAGTGGGACAATTCAGCTCCCTGGGGTGCTCTCAGAGAGAGAGAGCACCAGAGGCTCAGAAAAGAGGCTGAAGGGGCCCAGCCCTGACCCAGGAAGAACGGAGTAAGGTCGGCTGTGGGCTTAGGCATTGCTGCCGGTGACCTTGGCCAGGTCTCTGCCCCTCCTGGGCCTGCTTCTCTCACCCTGTAACACAGGGAAGACTGCAGGGTGGAGGACAAGAAAGGCGGTTTGGAATCTAGTGACAAGTTCATGTCATTGCAGCGGGAGACCCTTGGGCAACTACCTTGACCTTGCTGAACTTTGACCCCCTCTGCTAAATAAATAAATAAACCTGAGGCTAGAGAAAAAGATATTAACATCTGCCTGCCTGCGTTCCTGGGGGTTCCTGGGGGTATTTGCGAGGTCTAGTGGAAGGCCTAGGCCTGTCTGTACGGAGACTTGATGAGATTCATAAAAAGGTGACTTTTGTTTCCTGGTAGGGAAGGAGAGTTTGCCCCAGGAGCCTGGGGGACCATGCATTTCACATGTGCCCACTCCTCAGGTCCTGGAGCAGAGTGAGCTCCTGTCCCTCCCTTTAGAGATCGGGAAACGAACTTAGTCATGGAGTGACCAGCCTGAGATTTCACCAATGAAAGGAGGCGGGAGAGCCAGGATTTAAACTTGGGCCATTAGCCATAAATTTCACTTAACTTCCACAATGGAGATGTGGAATTTACTGGAGATGATCCGAGAGTTCGCTCGCTACAAAACCATCTGTGTTTCCCATCATAGTTATTTTTTTCTTCAAAATGAGTTTTTATCTCCTTTTTCGTCTTGATTGCAACTGGTTTGTCTTAGGTGTGCTTTAATATTTTAAGGTACCCCGATTTCTTTACGGAAAGAGACATAACTGGATGGATGATAGCTTCTGCGCGGCTGCTTACATGCTTCTTCAGAGCCCTCACATTCTCGGCAGACTCCACGTGTGCGGCTGGGTCTGCCATCCTGCACAGATGGGGGTGGGGGGATGGCGGCGCCCCAGGCCAGAGTCCCTGTGTGGGGCTGGACACACCCTTCACGGTGTTCTTGTCCCACTTCCTAATTTTACCCACGAGGAGACCAAGGCCCAAGAAGCCCAGAGTCATATGTAGGAAAATTGACTCACTTTGCAAATTTCACCATGCACCTACTGTGTGCCAGGCCTTAGGCTGAGAGCTGGGGCTAGGAGGTGAGCTGCAGAGTGAGACTGTGCCTTGTCCTCCCAGAGATCGTGGCTGCAGAGACACACTGACCCATGTTGGGGAGAGGGGCTCAGCCACCTTGGGCTCAGGCGTCAGGACAGTGCCGCACCATGCACTGACAGGCTGCAGCCGCCCCGGGGGACAATGTACCGTGCATGCCACACGAGCTGTGTCTGCCACGCGACCTGTGTCTGCCACGCGGCCTGTGTCTGCGGCGACATCTGTGTGCTCTGGCCTTGGGGCGGATTGCAGAGCACCTGGCCGTGGAGTGTGTAAGAGTGTGTGTGCCTGCGTGTTACAGACTGTGTGCTCGGTGTCCGTGTGAGGCTACTCTTCACTAAAGCAGCGAGATCTCCTCTCGAGGAGGGGCATTCTGCTGGGATATGAGTCTAAAGGAAGTAGGCCTGCTTGAGAGGGGTTCTGAAGACTAATGAGAAGTTTAGTAGGTGGCCAAAGGGGAAAAGTCCCTCTGAGAAAATAGACCAACATGTGAATGGTCAGATGACCACGATCAAGGTCTTTAGGGAATATGTGGGAAGGCCTGGAGCCATGGCCACCCAAATACCCAGAAAATAGTAAGCTTTGATATGGGGTTGAACTGGCTTCATCTGCTGCTTTCTGGAAAACAGAGGCAGGGGACGGGCTACCGAGCATTTCTGCCCTTGAAGACTCCTCCTCCCCACCCTCTGCTTCTGATCTGGAAGTCCAGTCTTTATGGGATCACTTTCCTTCCCAAACTTGGGTCTCAGTGGCCTTGGTGCCCTCAGGGAATGGCAGAGTGTGTCGTGGGCTCCCAGGAGGGCGGGTTCACCTCCCAGCTCTGCCACTCCTGGCCGTGTGACTGTAGGCGGGTTGCTCACCCGCTCAGCGTCCTCGTCTGGAACAAGGTTCAGAAAGTCCATCTTGCAGGACTGCTGGAGGTGCAGGCTGAGGAGGACGACCGAGATGCTGTGGGGGCCCCTCCAGGGGGTGGTTCCACTCTGAGTAGAGTCCCAGCCCTGCCCCTACGCACTAGGGGGCCCTCTGCAGCACACCGAGGGCTGGCAGGAAGGGCTGCAGAGGTGCCTGACCTCCCCTCCCGCCGCAGCCTACCTCACAGTGGACTGGTACACCAGGTCCTCCCTCTTGCGGTAGTTCTCCATGTGGGAGTAGTTGGTGGAGAACATGGCATCGAACGTGAAGATCTTCTGCTTGATGGTGCCGCCATCTGTCACCTGCCACAGAGCACAGAGGCAGCAATAGGTGAGTCTCCAGCCAGCCTGGCCACGCCCTGCCGGGGACCCTGGGCATTGCAGGTGCAGCCCCTGACCTGCCCCACGGCTCCTGGAGCAGGGTCGGCATGGCAACCTGCCTGGCAGAGGTGTCTACCCCACTTCACTGACGTGGGAACCGAGGGCTCAGGGAGGACTTCCCAGCACCTAGGTAGGAGCTGGCACTTCTGTGGAGCTCCCACATGCGGGCAGGCCCACCCCTGCTGGTCTGCCTTATGAAGTCACACACACAGCTTAGGGGGCTGTGGGCAAGAGCAGGGACCATGGCAGTGTTTCAGAGTCAGCCACAGGGTCACAGCTTGACCCGAAGCCTTGGCCAGAGCAGAGACAGAACAGGGGAGCAGCCTGAGTGGAAAGAGGAGAGGGCAGGGGTCCCCAGAAGACAGCTAGGGTGCAAACATCTCATGTGGAGATAAGCAAGCTGAAC